ATGGCCATAAATACCAGGTGCCATCAGGAGGTCCACCAGTGGGGCCAAGACACTAGAAGCCCTCCCACTGTTGCCCCCCCCCCGCACCAAGAATACGGAGCATCCCTTGCCCCAGACTGAGAGTTCCTATCTATAGCTTGTGGCTAATAGCCCCTGATGGACCTCTGCTCCATATGCTTATCAACTGAAGGAAGACACACTTTGACATTTCTCATCACATGGCACTGAGAACGAACAATCTGCCCCGTTTAAGCTTGGCTGACTTAACACAGAACGAGGTAGCAGGGTACTGAATTTAACAGGGAAGGAGTGGGAGAAGAGGCTCTGATAATTGATTTTAAATGGCACACACACGATCTTCTCTGTTCTGATTTTAGGCAAATGGCGTCCTCCTCTGCCTCCAGTATTAAAGCTGCAGGGTTCTGTACACTTTCCATTAGAGCTTCCGCAAAGCAACGCAGACCCCGATCGGGCAAAACACATGCAGATAGGCTTTATTTCTGTATTAAAACAGGAGCGAAGACTTCATTCTTATCGCTGAGAATATTCACTTTTCTGATGCCGAGTCCCAGCCAAGTTATGGCAAGCCCATACGGATTTCAAGCCGAGAGACTTAACAGAAGTGGTTGGCCATCACACATGCAGATAGGCTTTATTTCTGTATTAAAACAGGAGCGAAGACTTCATTCTTATCGCTGAGAATATTCACTTTTCTGATGCCGAGTCCCAGCCAAGTTACGGATTTCAAGCCAAGAGACTTAACAGAAGTGGTTGGTCATTGCCGGCCTCTGCGTTTCTACCCTGGACTTCCTTGGTGGTCTCCCTTCCAAGTACTAACCAGGGCCGACCCTGCACTTAGCTTACGAGATCTAATGCTATCCGGCTAGCCTGGCCCATCCAGGTCAGGGCAGAAAGGAACAGGGATGGCTTGCCATCGTCTGCCTCTGCGTAGCCACCCTGGACTTCCTTGGTGGTCTCCCCCTTCCAAGTACTAACCAGGGCCGACCCTGCACTTAGCTTACGAGATCTAATGCTATCCGGCTAGCCTGGCCCATCCAGGTCAGGGCAGAAAGGAACAGGGATGGCTTGCCATCGCCTGCCTCTGCGTAGCAACCCTGGACTTCCTTGGTGGTCTCCCATCCAAGTACAGACCTAGGCCAACCCTACTTAGCTTCTGAGATCTGACGAGATAGCCTGGCCCATCCAGGTCGGAGCAGAAATGAACAGAGGTGGTCTGCCATCGACTGCCTCTGCGCAGCCACCCCGGACTTCCCCTTGGTGGTCTCCCATCCACGTATTGATCCAGGCCAGCCCTGCTCAGCTTCTGAGAAACGGCTAGCCTAGGCTATCCAGGTCAGGGCGTTTACTTCTATAGTGGATAAGAATTCTGCAGAGGAGCCCGAGCCACGTTTCTGCACGAGTCACTTTCCTCAGTGGAAGCCAATGCAGAACAAGGACTCATTAAGATACACAACAGCCAGTCTCCTCCAGAAAAAAAGGTTAATTCTGCACTGGTGGTGTGATTAGCCAGTTCAGTCACTCCCAATGCAGAGTCATGGTACAGCCCTCCCCTCTAACTGTCCGCTGCCTTTTAAAGTTCATCAGCAACCACGAAGAGAGACTAAGCACATAAGGGGAAGGCGTCAGCACCCTTGCTTGAGATACTCATTTATAGTACGTTATTCCCCTTAATGGCCACGGTGGCTCAAGTGGTTAAGACACTGAGCTGCAGACCAGCAGGTCAGTAGCTTCGGCAGTTCGACACCTGAGCGCTGTGTGATCGAGTGCGCTCCCATCTCTGGCTCCGGCTCCTGCCAACCGAGCAGTTCGAAAGCAAGGAATTGCAAGTAGATAAATAGGTACCGCTTCGGTGGGAAGGTAACTGCATTCTGTGTGCCTCGGCGTCTAGTCATGCCGGCCACATGTCCACGGAGACGTCTTCGGACAGCGCTGGCTCTTCGGCTCGGACACGGACGGAGATGAGCACCACCCCCTAGAGTCGGATTCGACTGGCTTTCGAGCAAGGGAAACCTTTACCTTTACTATTCCCCTTAAACTCCACGGCACTCTTGCCTGACCCACACTGAGTCCCCAGCAGTCCCTGTTGCACACCAGCTGAATTGGGGTCACCACAGGGGGTGGTGCCACAGGGCACCCCGGCAACCGCCAGTGAGCACAGAAATCTTTCACAATTTGTGGCTGGCTCCGCCTCCTGTGGCAGCCATTTTGTTGCTCTGGCAGAGTTCCAAATGTGCCTGCAGTGCTCCCTTCTAAACTGTGGAGTCTTGTGAGCACACATTCTACTTGGTGAGCTACCGGCGTTAAAGTTGTGAGCGAGCAATTCGGCTGTTGCATAAATCAGTTTGCTCGGGAGCCCTCCTTCCTGAGTGGAGACAAAAATGTGTGAGCTGGGGGCTAAAAAACTGTGAGCTAGCTCACATTAACTCAGCTTCTAGGGAACACTGTGTGCCTGCAGGCCCAAAAAACACTGGGGACCCCCGCACTAAAAGGAACAAGCGAGAAAGATCCCGATAGGAGCGATCCAGGAAGTCACTGCCAGCGGTTCAAATAACATGGAGCACGTCTGTACTCAAAAACCAGCTAGCCTTCCCCCACCCTCCGTAACAGCTCACGCATTGTAGAACGGAGCTCATGGAAATGTATTCAGAACAGACCACAGCATGACTCCAACAGAGCAGCTGAGGACAGGCAGAAGTCCTTCCAAGGCCCCGGGGCATCTCTTACCGACAGCCACAGGTCTGGCGCCTCTTAATTGTGCTAGTTGCATGACAGCATTATTTATTGTGGTTTTCCGTAGTAAGGTTGGCCCCAAATACTACACCAATGGCGGCGTGTGCCTGTCTCTTCTCTTTTCGCAGGAGGATTCCGAGTCCCCGTTTGCGGCAGGGAATGGCTCTCTCTTCTTTTTAATTGTATTTTTACAGCTTACAATAAAGTATAAATTGCTGTTGAGGTTTACATCTAGAGTTGCAACTTACACCGAGCAAGCGGCTGTTATTAATTTTCTCCCCCACCCCACCCCGGGGATTGCTGAGGATTCCAGGCCACAATCTCCGTTTATTGCAAGAAACTGGTTATCCAGGGGTTGCGCCACCTCGTACGGCTTGAAATTCAGTCCCAAAATCCACCCCATTGAAGAACCAATCGGCTCCCCAAATTAAAAAAACCATTCCCTTCTTACAGAACCACAGATCAGGGCTGGTCTTCATAAAGCGGTGGAGCCCAACACAAAGTTTGCTTTCAGCTCCAGCAAAGAAGGAACGAGCCTCAAATCCTGGGGTTGCCTAGCAACGGCCACTGAGGGAATCTGCTGCTTAAAGCTACAGGCGCTTCTTTTATTATTTTTGGGTTTTTAAGACTCCCCCTTTGTTTTTGCTTTGTTTTAGAGGTCACATTTTCCTGCAAACCTAGGGGTCCTTTTCCGGGCTTCTAGAAAGATCTGCCTCGCCCGGTCACAGCTCCGGTCACCAGATTTAAGTATCCAAAGATTTGGCCAGTTTCACTATTAGAATAGGATTTCCGGGTTCCGAGGAGACAAGGGATCCGCTGAAACACACTTCAGATAGAGAAGAGATCATCTCTGGGAGACTACTCTTCCCAAACATTAGTGAGTTTGGCACTAATCTGGAAACAGAATGGGCAAATCACGGACACAGGAGGCCTCTGCAACTGCTAGGGGCGACCCCTCGTTCTCGAGCATTAACCACGGCCTGCAAAGCACCCGCCCCCTCCAATACTGTACAAGATAACCCTTCGTTCCAGGAAGGACAGACTCAGAAAAGCACACCCGTACATGAGCCGTACTAAACCAACAAAGGTTTTTTTAATTCTAATCCTGAATATATATAAAAAAAGCCTCAGCCTCGTTTTTGCATTTTTTTTTTTAAACACACGTTTCTAGAGAGATGCCTAAAAAATAGAATTCAAACATTTACACAAAGCCTGCTGGAGCCCGGCATAAAAATATGGGACACAGCCATAGAAACTGAGCCGTGCGGCTGGGTAAAAAGGCCTTGAAATCCTTTCAGGGGGCGGGGCGAGGCGGGGCGGGGGGGTCTGTTCTGCCACATACAGTTCCCATCTGCTACAGGGAAGGGGGGGGGGGGGTAGAAGGGACAGAGAAGATGGCTTTATGGCAAAAAATGTAAAAAAAAATAAAACAGGCTCGGGAAGGAAAATATTAACGGGACGTTTGCAACAGGAACCGCCGCTGACGCCGCACTGGTACCCGGTGTGTCCTAGCGGAAAGCCAGCTGGGTCCACACAAGGCGAGGCCGTCTGACCCCTCCCTGAGCAGTCCCGGAGGTGCTGAAGGCTGGACTGCACCACTTCTGACGGAGAGCTCCTCCGACGTGAGACACGACACACGGACTGCTACTGATGCACACCGATCACGCCACAGAGCGGATTCTAAGCTAGCCTCCCCCCCACAATGCCACTGGGGTTTCGAACGTTCAAGGAGGCTGACTGTGCCAGGAGACGTTCGGCCATTTAACCCTCCCCGGCCATGCGCCCTGAAGTGGAACAGTCCAGCATGACAGCGGACATTCAGCACCCCTGTGCCCTCTGGAGTGGCCCCGGCCAGGAGCAGATGTCAAGCTACCGCTGGGTCTATTGAAAAAATGGGTAGATTCGACTTGTCCCTGCCCCACCCGGACAGACTAAAGGTCTCCAAAGTTCAACGCAGGGGCGCTCCCCACCACTCTGGCTCGGGACCTTCCGCCAGCCTGCCCTCCCCCTCCGTCCCCAAGTTTTGCAGACACAGGGGGGACGGGGGGGAAACCGATTCATGCCTCCTTGGAGTCTGCCCAGCAAGTGGGGGACGCTGCAGGCCACAGAGAACTCAAGGCCCCGCGCCAAAGGCTTTTGTGGAAGGAGGTGCCTTTGGGGGGTGGGGAAGGAGGGAAGGAAGGGGAGAGGTGGAAAGAAAGCCAATGGGGGGGGAGAGCGAGTGAAAAAAAGACAGAAAAACACAGAGACAGAGAGAGACAGAAAGAAAGAAAGAAAAAGAAAGAAAGAAAAAGAAAGACGGAAAAAGAAAGAGAGACAGACAGAAAGAGGAAGAAGAGGGGAAGGAAGGACGGGCTATCCTTTTCAATGAAGGCATCGAGAGGTTGCTTCCTGCTGGGGGGAAAAACCGTTAAGGAAAGAAACAAACAAACAAAAATAACACCACACTGAGATGCCAGGTTGTCGTGTGCAACAGCCAAAATTCAAAAGGTGATGAAGCAGTTTTGGTGGGGGGGAACGAGGGGCTAACCGACGCCTCCTCGCGCCATTTGGCAGAGGGGAGAAGAAGAAATCCTCCCGAGGTATCAGCCCCAGAACGAAAGGAAGTGCAGTGGGTCGAGGTAGGGATCGAGAGCCCCCGCGGGGCCAGCTGCATGGCCCACAGTTCAGCCAGAGGTTGGAGCCGCTGCCGGTCTAGTCCGAGGCTTCCGGCGGCAGGGGCAGCTCCGTCCTGACTCTGATCCACGTGGGGAGAGGGAGGCCACGTGGGCCGGGTCCACACCCCGTTGTCCTGGTAGCGCGCCTCCAAATACGTCTCTGTGCCCCCTCGCCCCTCCTCCTTGAGCGTCCCGGGGAGGGGGGTGAGGTCTGGAGCTGACCTGGGGACAGCGTTCAGAGCAGGAGCTTGCCGTTGCGATGGATCTTCAGGATGCGGCCGAGCCGCTGCTTAGCCGTCGCTAAGCCCTTCTTGGGGCGTTTCCCTGGGTGAAGGGGGGGAAAGGGGGTGAGGTCGGCAAGCGTCACTCTTACTCACAACAACCCAAACCCGTGTGCCTGAGAGAACGGCCTCTGTGAACGAGGCGTTTCGGGATGATGCTCGGCCCGAAAGGAGGGAAAACTAAAACAGTACCCGCTTCCGTTCATTTGCACCAGGCATGGTGTAGAAGAAAAAGAAGGAGTGATTGGATTGATACCCCGCCCTTCACTACCCAAGGGAGTCTCAGAGCGGCTTACAAACTCCTCTCCCTTCCCCTCCCCACAACAGAAACCCTGTGAAGTAGGTGGGGCTGAGAGAACTCTTGACAGAAAGGGCTCTTTTTCAAGAACAGCTGTGCCAGAGTTATGGCTTGCCCAAGGTCATCCAGCCAGGTGCAAGTGGTGGAGTGGGGAATCAAACCCGGTTCTCCCAGATTAGAATCTGCGCTCCTAACCACAACACTACTGGAAAGCTATCTGCATTAGCACCTCCAGAGATCTGCCGTGCTCTGATGCTGCTTCCGTGCATCAGGTCCAGGACAACATTCTGGAGGATCGTGCCCACGAGGGCTTAGAGATCTCCCTATCTCTTCCCCGCACCCCATGGCCATTAACAGCTCACAAAACCAGCCACCCAGGGACAAAACTGCCTCCCCGGGAATCACAGGAGCAGCTCCCTTACAAACTCTAGGGTATTGTAGGATCATGGGTTCCTGGACGAAGACGTGGTGGGCGAACCAGCAGCCGGCCTCCTTAGGGGACTCGTAACTGGGCTGGCTTCAGCCACGGACTCCGTTCATACCTTTTCCTTTTTGCTAAAAGTCACAGCTGACTTACGGCGACCCCGCAGGGTCTTCAGGGCAGGAGGTGAAAGGAGATGAGATGATGATGAGATGAGATTGGATTTATACCCCGCCCTTCACTTGGAGTCTCAGAGCGGCTTACAAACTCTTTTCCCTTCCCCTCCCCACAACAGACACCCTGTGAGGTGGGTGGGGCTGAGAGAACTCTGACACAAACTGCTCTTTTTCAAGGACAGCTGTGCCAGAGCTTGTGACTGACCCAAGGTCACATCAGCAGGTGCAAGTGGAGGAGTGGGGAATCAAACCCGGTTCTCCCAGATTAGAGTCCGCGCACTTAACCACAACACCAAACTGGCCCGCCTCCACCTCACAATCCTGGCATTCATTCCTTGGCAGTCTCCCATCCAGATACTACCCAGGGACAGCCCTTGCTCAGCTTCCGAGACCTGACGAGATCGGGCCAGCCTGGGCCACCCAGGTCGAGGCAAAAGACAGACAGAGGTGGCTAGCGATTGCCTGCCTCTGTGCAGCAGGCTTCCTTGGTGGTCTCCCCATCCAGGTGTTAACCGGTGCCGACCCTGCTTAGCTTCCTAGATCTAATGAGATCTGGTGAGCATGGCCCATCCAGGGCAGGGCAGAGACAAACAGAGGTGGGTTGGCAACCCTAGGCTTCCTTGGCGGTCTCCCATCCAAATACTATCCAGTGCAACTCTGCTTATCTTCTAAGATTTGACAAGCTCAGGCCAACCTGGGCGATTTATTCCTTAGGATTTTTTTTTTGGGGGGGGCACTGCAGAGTTCCTTCAAATGTTTCACGTACATTAGATTCACAATTTCTACAAATGGCCTGGAACATATTCCATGAGAGAACGGCCGCTTGTTTAAGGTGGCACGGACTCTGATCTGGGAGAACCGAGTTTGATTCCCCACTCCTCCAACAGCAGCTGCTGGATGACCTTGGGCGAGCCATCATTCTCTCAGAGCTGCTCTCTCACGAGCGGTCCTCGAGAGAGCTCTCTCAGCCCTGCCTACCTCCCAGGGTGTCTGTGGTGGGGAGGGGAAGGTAAACGAGTTTGTAAACTGCTCTGAGACTCTTGAGTGAAGGGCGGGGGTATAAATCCAATCTCTTCTTCTTCTTCTTGATGGAGGTACTACCCGAACCTGGGTACACGGCTAGCGCACCCTTCAGCAGAACTGCCCCTTTCTTAGTGCAATGAGCTTAAGCTTACGACTGCACCGTCGGATGCTCAACTGCTCCAGCTAAGCGGAGGTCAGCTTCCTGTTTTCCCAAAACCAGGGGTCATTTCCTGCAGGAGCACACAGGAGCGGAGCTCTGGCAGTAAAGAGCCCAGGGGGAGGGCACATGCAACAAGCCCCACCCCCTGCTCCCAGCTGCCCCGTCAGAGCAAGAAGCAGCCAGGTACGTTGCAGAGCTCCCCCCCAGCCCCCCAGTCCAAAACAGTCCAGTGGCACCTTTAAGGCCAAGTTTTATTCAGGTACGAGCTCTCCCTCCTCTGCGAGGACAGATCTGCACGTTCTCCCCCCCCCCCAATAGCTAGCCATCCAAAACAGTCCAGTGGAGCCTGAGCGGTGGGTGTTGCCTTCTGACACACTTCTGGTGATGTCAGGGGGCGTGGCATATGCAAATAAGTTATGCTAATGAGTTATGCTAATGAGCTCCCGCACCTCTTTTTCTACGAAATGACCCCTGTCCCAAACCAACCAAGGCGAGGTATGCATGCCAAAGGACGTTTCCGGCAACAACCCCCCCCCCCCCCCCCCGAACCTGCCCCTGTGGCACCGCCCCGTTCCGAAAGGCCGGGCACGCGCACTTACCCTGTGCAGCCTGGGGACCCGGCGAGCCGGCCGAAGGGCGCCGTTGGGACAGGAAGACTCCCGGCGCCATGGGCGTCGAGCCGCGGTTCACCTGGGCCATCCCGAAGACGTTGGGCCGGGCCGTGTACTCGTGGTCCACGAGGCTGCCGGCAAACTGCTCCTGCTTGGGTTCGGGCGTGGGAGGGGTGGGCACCGGCGTTGCCACGGGGTCCGGCTCCTGTTGCGGCGGGGGAAGTTCAAGTTCCACTTCTTCCTCCGCGGGTTCCGGCTCCGGCTCCGGGCTGGGCGCCTTTGGGGATGGCGGCTTCCTTTTCACGACGAGCTTCCTTCGCTGCAGCTTCTGCTGCTCCTTAAGACGGAGGAAGCAATGAAGGGGGTCCTCCGGTCTGGAACCGAGGGGGGGGGCATCCCCACAGGCCTCTCGTGGGGTTGAGGGGACTTCCCTGACATAAGACAATCCACCCCCCACCCACCCCGGTTAGCACTAGAATGGCGCCCGCAGCTTAGCACAGCCAGTAGAGAAAGGGAGAAATATCTAGAGTCTCCCGGACTGGATGGGCCGTTGGCTTGATCCAACGTAGCTTCTCTCCTGTCCTTATGACCAGTGCTCCCTCTAAGCCGGCGTTGCCACGGGGTCCGGCTCCTGTTGCGGCGGGGGAAGTTCAAGTTCCACTTCTTCCTCCGCGGGTTCCGGCTCCGGCTCCGGGCTGGGCGCCTTTGGGGATGGCGGCTTCCTTTTCACGACGAGCTTCCTTCGCTGCAGCTTCTGCTGCTCCTTAAGACGGAGGAAGCAATGAAGGGGGTCCTCCGGTCTGGAACCGAGGGGGGGGGCATCCCCACAGGCCTCTCGTGGGGTTGAGGGGACTTCCCTGACATAAGACAATCCACCCCCCACCCACCCCGGTTAGCACTAGAATGGCGCCCGCAGCTTAGCACAGCCAGTAGAGAAAGGGAGAAATATCTAGAGTCTCCCGGACTGGATGGGCCGTTGGCTTGATCCAACGTAGCTTCTCTCCTGTCCTTATGACCAGTGCTCCCTCTAAGCTGAGTCAGTGTGAGTTGGCTCACAGTTCTTTAGCCTCCGGCTCACACATCTTTGCCTTCGCTCAGGAAGGGCGGCTCCAGAGCAAGCTAATTCATGCAGCGGCCAAACCGCTCGCTCGCGGCTTCCATGCCGGCAGCTCACAAAGGAGGATTTTCTCTCACAAGACTCCACGGCTTAGAGGGAGCACTGCGTATGACTGCCCCAATTTGTTCCGAAACCCCAGTCCCCCCCCACAGAAGCAGCCCACAACTTGTTCCTCAAAGAAAGCCAAGCCAAGTGGAGGGGGGAGGCCGCTCCCCTGGAGACCCGGTGTGACCCAGCCTGTGTCTGGTGCCCCTTCCTCACCACGGAGTCCTGCTACTACCTGCTGAGCCAGCTTGGCCGCCGCTGCCGCCAGCCCCGTCTCGACGGAAGCGACTCGGGTGCCCTCGCGCACGGGGCGGTCCTGCTTGGGCAGGGATGGGGTGACGCGGGCTGCAAAGAGAGGGAGACGGGAGACAGTCATCCGGGGCCCCACCCTCTGGCTTCCTCCTCACGGCAGCCTGGCTGCTGGAGGCTAAGAGAGGAAGGATAGACCTGCCCGGTTCCCTCCCTCCCAAAGAGCGACATTCCCCTAGAGGGCTTCCCAAAATTGCATCAACCAGGGAGACTTCGAAGGGCTCCCGTCGGGCTCCCCCTCGCAAAGCCACACCCACCCGCATCCCAAACAAACACCCACCCGGCTGGACCAAGACGGACAGAAGGAAATACTGCTCGACACAGAGAGTGATTAAGATGTGGCATTCGCTGCTGGAGGAGTAAGCTGCCCAGAGGAGAAAGCTGCCACATGAATAAGCAGCTTTAAAAGGGGATGAGAGAGGTTCCTGGAGAAGAAGCCCATCAACAGCTACTAGTTGTCGTGACTGAGGGGAACCTCCACATTCAAAGGCAGTAAACCTCTAAATTCCACAGCCAGGAGGCAACATCAGGGGAAGGCCTCGGCTTCTATGCCCTGTTGTTGGCCCTCCAGAAGAACTGGTTGGCCGCTGTGTGAGATGGGATGCTGGACTGGATGGACCCTCACTGGTCTGATCTGGCAGGGTTCTTCTGATGTTCTTCTCATGGGAAGGCTTCAGCCTCTTTGCCCTGTTGTTAGATCTCCAGAGGAACTAGTTGCCCACTGTGTGAGACAGGATGCTGGGCTAGATAGACTACTGGTCTGATCCAGCAGGGCTCTTCTTATGTTCTTAGGAAGGCCTTGGCCTCTATGCCGTTGTTAGATCTCCAGAGGAACTAGTTGCCCACTGTGTGAGACAGGATGCTGGACTAGATGGACCCTCACTGGTCTGACCCAGCAGGGCTCTTCTGATGTTCTTAGGAAGGCCTCGGCCTCTCTGCCCTGTTGTTGGCTGTCCAGAGGAACTGGCTGGCCCCTGTGTGAGACAGGATGCTGGACTAGATGGACCCTCACTGGTCTGACCCAGCAGGGCTCTTCTGATGTTCTTAGGAAGGCCTCGGCCTCTCTGCCCTGTTGTTGGCTGTCCAGAGGAACTGGCTGGCCCCTGTGTGAGACAGGATGCTGGACTAGATGGACCCTCACTGGTCTGACCCAGCAGGGCTCTTCTGATGTTCTTAGGAAGGCCTCGGCCTCTCTGCCCTGTTGTTGGCTGTCCAGAGGAACTGGCTGGCCCCTGTGTGAGACAGGATGCTGGACTAGATGGACCCTCACTGGTCTGACCCAGCAGGGCTCTTCCAATGTTCTTAACCAAAGCAGGAAGTGGAAAGCTGCCCCACAGACCGGACAGCTCTTCCCCCAATCAAAACTGCTTCCCACGTGTCTAAAGAATTTCCCTGCCTGGATCAGTGCTTACCCCAGAATTATGCTGAAGTTATTAGAACATGTCTGACTTGCTGAGAAACATGAAATAAGGACAACCCACCCCTTGGGCCACTTTATCCAAATGGGCTCGACAGATTCCTGTCTCCCCTGCCCTGGCCCAGAGCTTGGACTCTATTCCCACTGAGCGCAGGATGGGAACGTGGAAGGGAGGGGCCTGCATTCCCTGCCTTGAAGGAGGCAAGCAAAATGATTCCTCCGTCTGGTCTAATGTCTTCTGCTACTCCTTGAGGAGACGGTGAAGGATGTGAAGTGGGACACGGAAGCCCCAGTGCCAACCGGTGGGCGTCTGGTTCAGAAACATCACAGGTTCTTAGGGCATTAGAGCAGGGCATTTCACCCACAAGCACATCTCTGTATGAAACTTGCTTTGAGAAACAAAACGAAACTTGCTTTGAGAAACAAAACGAAAAAAGCGAAAGCTGAGAACCTCAAGAAACGGAACTGAGCCGTGAGCGTGGCACTCACAGAATCATAGAGCTGCAAGGGGCCATACGGGCCACCTAAGTCCAACCCCCTGCTCAGTGCGGGGTTGGCCGAGAGCACTGGTTCCCAAACTGGGCAATACCGCCCCCCGGAGGTGCACCGGAACGATCCAGGTGGGTGGTAGGAGCCTTGACTGCAAATTTGTCACGGCGTCTTTTTGTCCACTTCTTGAAGGGAGATGCCCAGGGGGGGCGCTGAGTAAGTTCTTTTCTGAAAAGGGGGCTGTTGGCCAAATAAGTTTGGGATCCTCTGGCCTACAGCGTCCCTTCCAAGTCTACAGAAGCAAAGAACCGCAGAGTTGGAAGGGGCCGCCTGGAACTGTGGAATGTGCAAAAATCCTGAGGACAATTACCCTTGGGACTCCATGGAGCATCGTCCGTGCTTTTCTTTTTCTTTGGTAGCGACTTCAACGCTGGGTCATCTTCATCAGATTCCAAGGAAGGGTAAACTACAGAGACACAGGGGGTGGGGGGGGGAGAATGAGAGAGGAGGGACTGAATACTGTACAGATGGTCTCATCCCGTATTTTCATAACAGAATCTGGCCCACACTTTCATGGTCATGTGGGGGGAAAAACACAAGCCCCTAGAATTGTCCTCGGACATGGGGTGGTGTTCTCAACTCCCATGTCTTCCACAGCAACTGGCTGGAAGTCAAAGTAACATAGAATCATAGAATGGTAGAGTTGGAAGGTCATCTAGTCCAGCCCCCTGCAGACTGCAGGAGCACAGTTGAAAGACAGCCTTAAATCATAGAGAGCCAGTTTGGTGTCGTGGTTAAGTGCGCGGACTCTAATCTGGGAGAACCGGGTTTGATTCCCCACTCCTCCACTTGCACCTGGCTGGATGACCTTGGACAAGCTGTAGCTCTGATAAGAGCTGTCCTTGAAAAAGAGCAGTTTCTGTCAAGAGCTCTCTCAGCCCCACCTACCTCACAGGGTGTCTGTTGTGGGGAGGGGAAGGGAAAGGAGTTTGTAAGCCGCTCTGAGACACCTTTGGGGAGTGAAGGGTGGGGTATAAATCCAATCTCTTCTCTTCTTCTTCCTGAAAGATGGTCGTCCAGCCTCCGCTTGAAAAC